TGTTGTTTGGGGTCCTAGTTGGTGCTGGGTTCAAACAGAAGGAGATGGTTAGAGAAAAGCAGAAAGAAGACAAAACATAATGAAATTAGAGCTATCTTTCTCTTGTTGTCACTGTCTGTAATCTTGATAATTTATTTTATTTTTTAAATGGATGTAACGGTCTTATGGCACTAAACTTCATGTATTTTAACACTTGTGTTGAGTCATAGCCAGGGGGTCTATACAAATGTGTAATTTCATGACTATATGAAACAATACAGGGAGGTTGTTTACGGGGACCAAAACACTGTTGACTCATTGTGGAAGTATTTGTGGTTAAAGCTGCTTTTGATTTGTGCAGAATTAACACTGCGTGCAGGTGCCCTCGTGTGCGTTCCCAAACACATGTACATTTTCAGGCTGGCTGTAGCTCAAGAGGTAGAGCGAGTCTACTAATTGGGAGGCTGCTGGCTGCTCTAGTCTGCAAAGTATCGGGCAAGAACCATAAGTTGCACTCCAATGCATCCATTGTAATATGAATGTGTGTGAATGACAGAAAAAACTTCTTGCATGAGTGGGTGAATGAGATATATGAAGTGCTTTGAGTGCTGCAGTAGGGTAGAAAAGTGCTATTTCTGTCACAGTTCAATTTCAGGGTTATCAGTCAATCCAGTTATCCAGGATTTATTTTACCTGCTTTGGTGCAAATGAAAGTGACAAGCATTTTGTCCTATTAATGTCAGCATTAACTGTGGGGTTATTCACTGTTAAAGTAATTTGCTCCAGAGCAGGTTAAGTTTAGAAATCAACAGCCATGAAGTCAGCACCTATTGACCAATCAGTTCCCCAGGGTCACAGTTTCTGGAAGATACCTCAAACCTCAGTGCACAGATGTTAAAAGGGTTTTTCAATGGTTTCTAATGCTTTTGTGTTTTGTGATAACCATCAGTAACAAATATAAAATATTTTCCTTGATTTTTTTTTTCCCTTTCAGGTGCACACAATGTTATTTTTCTATAAGCATGGTGACTGTACATCAACTGTGCACATAGTCTAAGCCTACATTTAAATTCTGTTTTTACACTTATTCTTTTCTTCCTTTCAGACCGTTAGACACCAGTTTCTTCGCTGACTTCAGATGAGTTTATTAATCTTGTCAAGAAAAACAAAGATATCTTA